TTAGGCTCTGCCTTCACCTGTTGTTTCTCCCCTCACATCCAAGGTCACATGAAGGCATCTCCTCTTGCAGTCTCTCTTTACATGTTAAATTCTTGCTTTTTCTTCATTCGAGCTTTTATCCCCATTACTTACCCTAGACTTTCAGAATCAAGGCTTGGTTTTTTTTCTTTCCCATTTTTTTTTTTTAGCTTATTCAAATTAATTGACTTTTTTTACCTTTTATCCTTCTGCTAAAAACCTATACAAAAGTTGTTGTTTCTGTCTTTCAGCCCTAGCTGCTCTTTCAATTCTGTGTTTAATATATAATCTATAAATAACCTATGTGTTACAGCCACATGTCTTTTTTTTTTATAGATGGAGTCTTACTCTGTCACCCAGGCTGGAGTGCAGTGGCAGAATCTCGGCTCACTGCGACCTCTCTTTCCCGGGTTCAAGCAATTCTCCTGTCTCAGCCTCCTGAGTAGCAGGGATTTACAGGCGTGTGCCACCACACCTGACTAATTTTTGTATTTTTAGTAGAGACGGAGTTTCACCATGTTGGCCAGGCTGGTCTTGAACTCCTGAACTCAAGTGATCTGCCCGCCTCAGCCTCCCAAAGTGCTGGGATTACAGGTGTGAGCCACAGTGCCCGGCCTACATGTCATTTAAATTAAAATTTAAATGTCTTGGTTCATTTACTGTTGATAATTTTACAAACTTAACAGTGAAAACGCTGTTGGCTGAGAAACTTTAGGGACTCTGGGTGAATACACGGTTGGTTGAATGTCCTGGCTTTAGAGCTGTCATCTAGTCAGTAGTGGTTCATTTCGTCTGGGCCTGGAATTCACATGAATTAACCTAGCGAGCCTAGTGTTACTAGGAACAGGAAGTTAGGGATGGCAGCTCTTGGTTAGATGACATTGACATGTGGTGATTTTGTGCGCTGAAGAGAAAACTTTAAAAATAATTGGCGAACTTCTCTTCCTTGGCCTTCCTGTTGACAATACTTATCTCATTATCTTAATAGGGTTTCGTGTTAGTTTTCACATCTCTCTTTCAATACATTTGTCATCAAAGGTTCCATTCTTCTTGCCTTGAATATATACAGACTTAATGTCTGTCTCTACCATTATTCCCTCCCTTCCTTTTCCTGAAGAACTTGGATCCTCCAATCTATTACTGCTCTTTTGGAAACTCTTTCGCCTACTTTAAAATCCACTGGCTCCGGTTTATTGTATTGTTGACTGCAAAGCAAAGTACTGCTTTGACTGTAGTTTCTAACTCTATTCCTGTGGCTTAGTTTGCCCCTTTACCTCTAGCAAGATGATGCTTCTCACATCCTCTCTGTCCTGTCTGCTTAGCCCCTGTTATTTTCCCATGCAGCCTGAGGCTGGAAATGGCTCCTAATTTTGTACTTGCCAGGTTGTTGTTACAGTCTCCCTGGCCAAAAGGTTAAGGAAAACCAGAAAATAATTTACTCAAGTCTACCTTTTTATCTCAATATCTATTCTAATACGTTCTTTACTCCCTTCATGTATTTATAGAATGTGCATACTTCTTATTCATGTTACTAGCAAATGTGAAGCAGAGCATATCATTAAAGGATGAATAATTAACAAATTGTTGAATTTCTCAAAATACCCAGAGCTCTTTATTCATCTTACTAAAATAAATTGCTTTACAGGGCCAAGAGCAATTTCAAGCATCATGCTACATAAAAGTTGTTTTTTTTTTTTTTTTTTTTTTTTTTTAAACTGAGCAGAGTCTCGCCGTGTCACCCACGCTAGAGTATAGTGGCACAACCTTGGCTCACTGCAGCCTCCTCCTGGATTCAAGAGATTCTTGTGCCTCAGCCTCCCAAGTAGCTGAGATTACAGGCGTGCACCATGATGCCTGGATAATTTTGTATTTTCAGTTGAGACAGGGTTTTGCCATGTTGGCCAGGCTGGTCTTGAACTCCTGACCTCAAGTGATTCGCCCGCCTTGGCCTCCCAAAGTGCTGGGTTTATAGGCGTAAGCCACCACACCCAGCCACAAATTCCTAATAAAGTCCTTGTATACTTTGATAGTGTAATTACTTAATTTTAGATGTATTAGAGGCAGATTTTTAAATGGGATTTCAAGGCAGATTTTTTAGTTATAAAAATCAAAATATTTCTATAATTACCATTATAAAGGTAATATATACATACTGTAAAAAATTTTTAAATATATAAGAACTATAAGCCATTCAGCCTATTGACTTTTAATACATATTATTCAGTACTATTTTATATACACATAAAAGCAGATTTGTGTATGACAACTGTATTGTTATAGGCAGTAAAATCAATTCAGATTCTGTGACAAAGGAAAATGGCTATAGTAGATGAGAATATAAGCTGGATACTAGCTAGGAAAATAAGTCCATGTTAACTTTGAAGGAAAACAAAAATTATACGTAAATAAATTAGTAAATTTGATTTGCCATACTGTTTATTTGAGTTGAAAAATGATATAAAAATGTAAAGACCTACATGCCTTACAAACACATCAGAAAGTGTTTTGGGGTTCTAGGCTGTAAAATTGCTTGTAGATGCAAACACAAAGTAGCGGTTCTGTTTTTTTCTCCCTGAAAATGAAAATTATACTGTTTTTTTCCTGTTAAAGTAATTGTGAAGAAAATTCAGACTCTGAAAACCCCAAACAAGAAGAGAAAATCACTCATTCTACAGACAATAAAATTATTTATCATTTCAGACCTTTTTATAGTAGAATTTTTACAAAGTATTATAAATGCTTCTTTGTAACTGGGTTTTTTTTTTTTTCCTGCTTAACAAGATCTCTTAAGCCAGTATGTAGAGTTCTGTATAATATCTTTTTTTTTTTTTTTTTTTTTTTTTGAGACAGAGTCTCGCTCTGTCGCCCAGGCTGGAGTGCAGTGGCCAGATCTCAGCTCACTGCAAGCTCCGCCTCCCGGGTTCCCGCCATTCTCCTGCCTCAGCCTCCCGAGTAGCTGGGACCACCGGCGCCGCCACCTCGCCCGGCTAATTTTTTGTGTTTTTAGTAGAGACGGGGTTTCACCGTGTTAGCCAGGATGGTCTTGATCTCCTGACCTTGTGATCCGCCCGTCTCGGCCTCCCAAAGTGCTGGGATTACAGGCTTGAGCCACCGCGCCCGGCCCAAGTTCTGTATAATACCTAATTAATGGTTAACAATATCCTATTTTAGAATGTACTTTCTTTTCCTTAACTAATCCCCTATTTAGGTTGTTTAGTTTTAGGTATTCTGCATAGAGCTATGGTGGATGTTCTCATACATGCTTTGCATGCTTTTCTGCTTATTAGGATAAATTTCTGGAAGTGACATTGTGTGAAAGGTACATGCATTTTTTTTTTTTTTTAAATAGAGGCAGGGTTTTATTCTGTCACCCAGGTTGGAGTACAGTGATGAGATCATAGCTCACTACAGCCTCGAAGTCCTGGGCTAAAGTGATCCTCCTGCCTCAGCCTCCCAAGTAGTGGGGATTACAGGCATGCACTACCACATCTGGCTAATTTAAAAGTTTTTTTGTTTTTGTTTTTGTTTTGTTTTGTTTTGTTTGTAGAGATGGAGTCTCACTATATTGCACAGGCTGGTCTGGAACTGCTGGGCCCAAGTGATCCCCCTGTTATGGCCTCCCAAAGTGTTGGGATTATATGTGTGAGCCACCACACCCAGCCAATATATGCATTTTTTCTTTTTTTTTTTTTTTAAATTTAGAGACAGTGGCTCACTCTGTCACCCAGGCTGGAGTGCAGTGGTGCAATCATAGCTCACTATAGCCTCCACCTCCTGGGCTCAAGTGATCCTCCTTCCTCAGCCTCCCAAGTAGCTGAGATCACAATTATATGCCACCATGCCCAGCTAATTTTAGAAAATTTTTTGTAGCGATGGGGTCTTAACTCCGTTGTGCAGGCTGATCTCAAACTCCTGGCTTCAAGTGATTCTCTTGTCTCAGTCTCCCAAAGTGCTGAGATTACAAGCATGAATCACCATGTCCAGCCTAATACCTGCATTTTTATTATTTTTATTTATTTATTTATTTATTTTGAGAAGGAGTCTTGCTCTGTAGCCCAGGCTAGAGTACAGTGGTGTGCTCTTGGCTCACTGTGACCTCCATCTCCTGGGTTCAAGCAATTCTTCTGCCTCAGCCTCCCAAGTAGCTGGGACTACAGGCATGTGCCACCTGGCTAATTGTTATATTTTTAGTAGAGATGGGATTTCGCTCTGTCGGCCAAACTGGTCTTGAACTCCTGACTTCAAGTGATTCACCTGCCTCTGCCTCCCAAAGTGCTGGATTACAGGTGTGCATGTTTGATTCTAGTCACCACGCTGCCAACCAGAAAGGAATAACAAATTATAGTTACATATAAGATAGGGTTAACTTGTGTCCAGTTCTGTGCTATAATGCACTGTTAATGAGACTCCCGGCAATATACAAAGCCACAGCAGTATTATGATGGAGTTTATGTATTAGAGTTTCACATATTAGAGGAGTTGGGTTGGGTTCAGCAGCGAGGGAAATGCTTATATTGGCAACTTGGATTGTGTTGTATTCATTTTCAAAAGCAGCGCTCAGGCCAGGTGTGGTGGTTCATGCCTGTGATCCCAGCACTTTGGGAGGCCGAGGCGGGTGGATCATGAGGTCAGGAAATCAAGTCCATCCTGGCTAACATGGTGAAACCCTGTCTTGACTAAAAAAAACAAAAACAAAAAAATTAGCCGGGCATGGTAGCAGGCGACTGTAGTTCCAGCTACTCTGGAGGCTGAGGCAGGAGAATGGCACGAACCTGGGAGGCAGAGGTTGCAGTGAGCTGAGCTCGTGCCACCGCACTCCAGCCTGGGTGACAGAGCGAGGCTCCATCTCAAAAACAAAACAAAACAAAACAAAAAACGCAGCACTCTCCCACCAGCAGTTAAACTGTGATGCTATGAGTATGTGTTGATGTTTTGCTGTTTTGAGGACTTGGGCATAGAGCATGATCCTTTTCTTATCTTAGATGAGTGACCGAGGAGGTGGTGTTCCTCTGAGGAAAATTGACAGACTCTTCAACTACATGTATTCAACTGCACCGAGACCTCGTGTTGAGACTTCCCGCGCGGTGCCCCTGGTATGTTATCAAGAAATAGTGAAGTGTGTTTCTGTCAATTGCCTTCCACATGCTCTAGCTGCCAAATAAGTAAGTTAAGCCGTCATGTAGGGTACTCCACAAGGAAGAAAGAAGCTCTTAGAAATGTACACTTTCCCCTACATTTAAACAACCTTCAGAACACTTTTTTTTTTTTCAACTGAAATGGGCACGAGACAGAGATCTGGAGTTCTTGTTACAACGTTTGATCATGACATAGCAGTAGTTTTCCTGTGTAAAACCCTTTTTCAGAATGTGGTTAACCACATTATTTCTAATGTGGGGAATAAATTACTGGTTTTAGCAGTATTGGTCAACACTGAATTACTTTTTAGTGTTTACTTTTTTCTCAAGTATTTGTCATCAGAATGATCTCATATCCTAGACTGAAAAATAAGACTAAAATTCTGATCTGTTCAATCACCAACCTGAGGGCTTAAATTATAATTTCTTTGATGGTGTTTTTATTAATCTTAGTTCCACCTATTTTCAGGTTTAATAGGATCAACTTTTGAATTGATTCCATCCTTATCTTTATGTTCTAACTCCCCCACAGAAAGTATGTTGCCAAAATTTTGTCTGTAATTCTAGAAGAGCTCTATTCTTCTTGGCTTGGAAACTTCTCTGACATTTCCAGTAGAATTATGCTGTAACATGATGGGATATAGTACAAGATCTATTTTAGACCCCTTCCTAGGAAGTTACTAGGACTTTATTCTGATAGTTTTGTGTCCGGAATTGGTGGGTTCTTGGTCTCATTGACTTTAAGAGTGAAGCCGCAGACCCTCGTGGTGAGTGTTACAGTTCTTAAAGATGGTGTGTCCAGAGGTTGTTTCTTCAGATGTTCAGATGTGTCCAGAGTTTCTTCCTCCCGGTGGGTTCGTGGTCTCACTGGCTTTAGCAGTGAAACTGCAGACCTTCGTGGTGAGTGTTACAGCTCATAAAGGCAGTGCGTCGGGAGTTGTTTGTTCTCCTGGTGGGTTCGTGGTCTCGCTGGCTTCAGGAGTGAAGCTGCAGACCTGTGCAGTGAGTGTTACAGCTCATAAAGGTAGTGCGGACCCGGAGAGTGAGCAGCAGCAAGATTTATTGTGAAGAGCAAAGAACAAAGCTTCCACAACGTGGAAGGGGACCCCAGTGGGTTGCTGTTGCTGGCTTGGGTGGCCTGCTTTTATTCCCTTATTTGGCCCCACCCACATCCTGCTGGTTGGTCCATTTTACAGAGAGCTAATTGGTCCATTTTACAGAGAGCTGATTGGTCTGTTTTACAGAGAGCTGATTGGTTCATTTTGACAGAGTGCTGATTGGTGCGTTTACAAACCTTTAGCTAGACACAGAGTGCTGATTGGTGCATTTACAATCCTTAGCTAAACAGAAAAGTTCCCCAAGTCCCCACCCAATCCAGAAGCCCAGCCAACTTCACCTCTCAGTTTTACCAGATGCATACCACAAATTCTATGGCTACAGCTGTAGTATAGTTGAAATGCTTGCTCTAGTAATGTCCTTTTCCAGTTGAGATACATGGCTTCCAGGAGTTGGCATCCATATATCAAGGGGTAGACAGACAGTGTCAAATGATAAACATGAGCATCTTTTCATAAGTCTAGTTTTATGCTAAAAAGTAGAGGGAGAGACAGGAGCTGCTGTTTTTGTAGTAAACGAATATTGTAGAATTTTTGTAGAGAGTGGCATAGTGAGCTAGTCCAGACTCTGGATCTAAACTCTTTGATTCCATTTCTGATACTGCTGCATCTTAGATGTGCAGCCTTGGGAAAATTATTGACCTCTGAAGGCCAAAGTTTCCCCAGTTAGAAAAATGGAGTTATTGTGAGAATTCAGTGAGTTGATATATGTAAAAATGCTCTTTATAGTGCCTGGCTCATGGTAAATGCCATGTAAGTGTTTGTTATTTTAGGATATAAAATGTATGTGAATTTTTAAGAAAACAGGAGGCTTGACCTGAACAGGCTCCCCCATACATCTGCATGTCCTTAACAAGGCTAAGACTATTACTAATTTCTTGCAGAGCCTCCTTTCTGCTGACCTCACTTTGTAGATGGTCCCAGTCAGCAGGCAGTAGGGTAGCTGGCAAAAGGCCAGCAGATGCCCACAGGAGTGGCTTTCTTGTCCACCTGGTTACTAAAGGCTTCTTCCCTGTGGATACCTTCTGGTGGGTCTTTGCATGGATAGGCTAGCTTTACACTGTAAGTCCAGAGAGGAACATCCACACATCTCTCTTCCAGACCTCCTTCTCATCCTTCACTCAGTTTTGATCTTTCCGAATCTTTAACAAGCCAGCCACTTTTTGCCACTGCCCATGCTGGAAGGGTTTACTTTCACCCCGTCTTTCAGGTCTGCCCTCCAACCCTGACAGGGATTGTAGTAGGAACATGGCAGCCTACTTTCGGATGGTGATAGCACATGGGGTAATTCCATCAGTGAACCCAGAAGCCCAGCCAGCTTCACCTCTCAATCCCCCCTCTAAACAGGACACTCTAATTGCTGTTGGGAATTGGGCAATGACTGCTGTAGCTACTTCCTGCTGGACAGGGACGAAGAAGGGGCCCTGCAGTGTAGTGGCCTCCAGCGGGGAGCTCTTTAGGTTAGTGAAAGGGCCAGTGGGTCAGTCCAGGGGTCCTCGGTAGAAGTTGTTAGTTGAGCTCATTTGGGGTTCCATTTGTAAGACCATCTGTAGCTTGATGGCCTTGATTCTAGAGGAAACAAATTTGACAAGGAAGTTAAAAATACAGGGCCTGAAGGTGAGTAATAGCAAGATGGCTGTCACAGGACCTAGAAAGGGGAGAAACCATGTTGCCCAATGCCAGAGGTTGATATAAGAGTTTGAAAGGCGTTGTCTGATTTCAGAATACTTTTACTGTAAACACCGGGTGACATCTCGGTCTATGCCTGACTGGTTAGTGTAAAAACAACACTCTTCCCCTAAGAAAGTGCGGAGTCCTCCGTTCTCAGCAGTGAGGAGGTCTAGGCCTCGGTGGTTTTGGAGAGTCACTGCTGCTAAAGAGAGTATTTGGGATTGTAGAGTAAGGATAGATTTTGTTATTTCTTGCAAACTGTCTGAGAAATCCTTTGAGTGTTTGTGGTAGTAGGATAATGAAGTAGATAAACTGGATATTCCGGTTCCTGTAGCAGTGGCCATTTCTAACCCTGTAAGTAGGGGTATTAGTTGTATGGCCCTGCGCTGAGGGACTTGAGCTTTGAGGAGCACTGATAGGGTCTGATTTCCATGAGATTAGAAGTTAGGATAATATATGTTACACTGTTAGCTTTTAGCAAACTTTACTTTTATTGAAACCTTGTAAGTTTGAGATTTCAATTATTCTTTCCTATTAATAAGATCTCGTTCAGTCCATATTAACTTAAAATTGGTATAGATGGCTCCTTCCTGATTCTGTAACTACCTTAAGTGCTCACATTTGAGCAGACCGAATATTAGGCAATTTTCCTAACTCTGCTTCTACAAGAGTTTCCTTATCACTTACTGAATACCCATTGTGTCTTTTTCCCTTAATCGCCTGGGAGGAAACATCTATCGTCCTGTCCTGAAGGGAGTTCCTCCTTTGTGTGGTCCGACCTTCAGATTTAGATCCCCTGTTAGGAAACCCGCTGGGTTAAGGATTTTTGATAGGAAAGCTATGGGTTGTCAGTGGCCTCGGTGCTTTCAGGCTATGCCCTTGTTTACATGGACAACAAGGTGGTATTGGAGTATTACAGGGTTACAGAGAAGACCTTCAATTATCAATTATAGGTTTTAAATTTACCCTGGCTTGTAAAGGAATAGGGTATACTGTTTTTTCTTTGCTACTATCTCTCTTTCTCTTTGACTTGTCTCTTTCTGACTCTGTCTTTGTCTCTTCCTCTCTCTTTGACTTTGTGTCTTTCTCTCTGACTTCCTCTTTGTCTCTGTCTCCTCCTCTCTGTCTCTTTGACTTTGTCTCTTTCTTTCTTTCTCTCTGACTCCTTGTTTGTCTCTCTCTTCCTTTCTCTCTCTCTCTGACTTTCTGTCTCTTTCTCTCTCTCTTTTCTGCTGGTCTTTCCCTGCCTCTGCCAGCCACTTATGCTGCTCTTCTCCCCTCTCCTGGAGAAGTCCGCAGACCAGGAACCCACCGGAAGGAACCAATTCCGAACACAATACGATCAAGCAGGCAGCAAGGAAAAGCAATATGCTTTTTCCAGACCAACTACAAGTCATTTTATGGAAAGAATAAAGAGTTTTAAATGACCAGAGGGAAGTTAGGTGATACAGTACTTGAGTAAACCTCAGCTTAATCATTAATGCTTAAATATTAATTATATTAAATATAATGCCTCTCTCAGATGTAGGCTCTGAAAGCCTCAGTGGCATCTATCTTAATTAGAAAAGTATTTCAGTGTGTGGCTCTCTGAATAGAATTTTGTTTTTCTCATCAAACAGGCTGGTTTTGGTTATGGATTGCCCATATCACGTCTTTACGCACAATACTTCCAAGGAGACCTGAAGTTGTATTCCCTAGAGGGTTACGGGACAGATGCAGTTATCTACATTAAGGTAATAGCTGTAGTCTTCTTGATTTAATATTTCTTTTGATGATAAGAATAGATGCCCATACTTAACTGTAATGAAATTTACCACATGCTGTTTACATAGAAAAAAGATTATGGTTTTTTGCCTGGGTTCTCACCAATTTTGATAGATGATCCCCTCAACTATGGGGAAAGAGATTTGTATCCTGGAGTGATCAGGACTCTGGCTATTAATAGGAAAAAAATTGGGTTAAAGTAGAGAATCATAAGTTATATATCATACAAGTTTAATTTTAACATAAAACACATGAATGAACATTGATATACCAAACTTTTGATGTACTGCCAGGGCCTTTTCTTTGTATATGGGTCTGCAGATAGGAGTGTCACATTGTCTTTTTTGCAAAAGCTGTACTGACAGTGCATCATTTTAGTTTCTTTAAACAAACAAGTGCATACTCTTTTTGGACTTTTATGCTGTCCTTTACAGATACCTCCTGACTGATTTGACAGCAAGTTTTATGTGACTTTCCTTCAGGAGTCTTTCCAAAACATTCATCTTAGTTTTCAAAGAAACATTCCCTTTTTTATTCTTTGCTAATGTAATAGATTTTGTAATTATAATGACAGAACTGTACAAACAGATTTGGGAACAAGCACAAGTGACTCTTGGTAAGCATATAGCTTACCCGATGGACACAGAAGCACTTAGTTTGCTTGCCTGGAGTGTTCAATGCATTAAGGAGGGATCCATACATTTTTACATGGTTGGAAAAACACTAGGTTCCATCGTTCCCCTTCTTCAGCTAACTGGTGACTGTTCATGCCTGATTTAGTGACTCTAGTTTCTTGTTCTGGCCACTAGATGGCATCTATTTTATAGAAAATGTTGAAGAATTTATATTGGAAAAATCTGAAAAGACTAAATTCTTTCCAGATGGTATTTTTTGTTTGTTTTTTTAACCATGTCAATTGTGAGGAAAAAGGGCAACATCAATGCAATTTTTTTTTTTTTTTTGGACAGAGTCTTGCTCTGTCACCTAAGCTGGAGTGCAGTGGCATGATCCTGGCTTACTGCAACCTCCGCCTCCCGGGTTCAAGCTGTTCTGCCTCAGCCTCCCAAGTAGCTGGGACTACAGGCGCCTGATGTTTGTATTTTTAGTAAAGATGGGGTTTCACCATGTTGGCCAGGCTGATCTTGAACTCCTGACCTCAGGTGATCACTTGCCTTGGCCTCCCAAAGTGCTGGGATTATAGGCATGGACACTGTGCCTGGCCCAATGCAGTAGTTTTATGACAAAATATAACATTTTGATCTAGCCCAGGAGTGTCCAATCTTATGGCTTCCCTGGGCCATATTGGAAGAACAACTGTTTTGGGCCACACATAAAATACACTAACGATAGCTGATGAACTTAAAAAAAAAATTGCAAAAAAAGAAGTCTCATAATGTTTTAAGAAAGTTTACAAATGTGTTGAGCTTCATTCAAAGCCTTCTCGGGCTGCATGCAGCCTGTGGGCCATGGATTGGACAAGCTTGATCTAGCCTATAGATCAAGAAATTCTGGAATATTTAGAGAGAATATGGAGGTGAAAGGTTTTTAGTTCTACCTTAGAGAAAATAGAAGACAAGAAGTCTTAGAGAATCATTAAAATTGTCAACATCAAAGACTTTAGTGCCAGGCGCGGTGGCTCACGCCTGTAATCCCAGCACTTTGGGAGGCCGAAGCAGGCGGATCACGAGGTCAGGAGATCGAGACCATCCTGGCTCACACTGTGAAATCCCGTCTCTACTAAAAATACAAAAAATTAGCCAGGCGCGATGGCGGGTGCCTGTAGTCCCAGCTACACGGAAGGCTGAGGCAGGAGAATGGCGTGAACCCGGGGGGCGGAGCTTGCAGTGAGTAGGGATTGCGCCACTGCACTCCAGCCTGGGCGACAGAGCGAGACTCCATCTCAAAAAAAAAAAAAAAGACTTGCCGGGCGCGGTGGCTCAAGCCTGTAATCCCAGCACTTTGGGAGGCCGAGACGGGCGGATCACGAGGTCAGGAGATCAAGACCATCCTGGCTAACACGGTGAAACCCCGTCTCTACTAAAAAATACAAAAAATTAGCCGGGCGAGGTGGCGGGCGCCTGTAGTCCCAGCTACTCGGGAGGCTGAGGCAGGAGAATGGCGTGAACCCGGGAGGCGGAGCTTGCAGTGAGCCGAGATCCGGCCACTGCACTCCAGCCTGGGCGACAGAGCAAGACTCCGTCTCAAAAAAAAAAAAAAAAAAAAAGACTTTAGCATTATCAGAATGAGATTTTCTGGTTCAGGATGTTCTGCATCTTAGGAAATGCCTTTGGCCTGGGGTGGAAATACTACTGAAAAATCCTAACTTGAAGAAGATAACCAGAAATGTAGTTTACCTCAGGTTCCAGTGACTTTCAGGAAATACAATGGAGAATTAATGGTAATAATATATTGAAAACATGAAATAATGCATGATGCAGCAATCTTGTGCACAGTGACTGAAATTGGAGGCTGCAGAAGATGCAGGTTCAAACCCAGGGCCAAGAAAAGTTCACAAAAAAGACAAGATGCCTTAGACATAGATTTATATTTATTAATAATGTTATAATGAGTTTTTAAATTTTTATGTATTTATACAGACAATGTCTTGCTGTGTTGCCAGGCCAGAGTGCAGTGGTACAGTCACAGTTCACTACAGCCTTGAACCCCTGGGCTTCAAGTGATCCTCCTCTCTCAGTCTCCCAAGTAGTTAGGACTACACTCATGTGCCACCATGTCTAGCTGATATTTTTATTTTGTGTAGAGACAGGATCTTGCTATGTTGCCCAGGCTGGTCTCCAACTCCTGGGCTCAAGCAATCTTCCTGTGTAAGCTTCCCAAAGCACTGGGGTTATAGGCATAAGCCGCTGTGCCTGGCTTGTGATGAGTTTTTTTAAAGCACAGTGACTATACTGAAAAAAAAAAACAAAAACTATTTCTTCTAGTAAATAATTAAAATAGAGTTCATTAATTTTATGTACATATATTAAGATACATATATCGATTTGTATGTTTTTACATTTAACCAACTTCTTCAGTTTGCCAACTCTGATCTGGGTCATGTTTTGTGTAAAATTTCAATACAGGAGCTTCCAGGATGGCTGGGAACTACTGTAAGCAACAAACTCAGTCAACCTGCACATCAGTCAGTGCCATAGATTTAATAAATAAGATGTTTCAAATATACATACCATTTAAAAGTATAGTTAGGTGGTATAAGGATTAATAAGATATTAATAGAATGTTATCTAATTTGTCATAACCTTTTTACCATTCTCTATTTTCTCAAATAATGAATTCTAAAAAATGCCAGACTTAATAGGTCTTAGGTTTTTTTTTTTTTTTTCAGGCTTTGTCAACAGACTCAATAGAAAGACTCCCAGTGTATAACAAAGCTGCCTGGAAGCATTACAACACCAACCACGAGGCTGATGACTGGTGCGTCCCCAGCAGAGAACCCAAAGACATGACGACGTTCCGCAGTGCCTAGACACACTTGGGACATCTGGAAAATCCAAATGTGGCTTTTGTATTAAATTTGGAAGGTATGGTGTTCAGAACTATATTATACCAAATACTTCATTTGTCGTTTTCACAAAACTATTTGAGTAGAATAAATGGAAACTGAATTCCATTTGTGCCCATTAAACCTCCTAAAGGATGAAATCACACCTATTTTACACTTATATTTCACAGTAATTGAACATATTTTTAAACAACTGTAGTTTTGGTCAACTTTTTGCTTTGTGGTAGACTTCAGAAGTGTGGAAATCTTTGGGTTTCTATAGGAAACTAGTTTTTTTTTTAAAAAAAATACTTTGTTTGCTAGAAATATTTTCTAAATAATAGTGATTAGCTGGTTAGCCATCTTCCTGTTATTTGGAGGAGTTCTGCCATCTTTATTCGGTAGTAATATGGTCTTCATGTTTATCAGTGACTGACTACAAGTAAAGCAGAAAACAGTTGCCCTGTAATCACAGAACCAGCCACCATTCAGCGTCTATGTGCATTGTCTTAGCTATGAGGTTAATTCATCATTTTTAAATTTTATTGTAAAGAAGTGTAATGACTATCTCTCTGTGGATCTATGCCAAAATCATGGGCCGTCTGTTCTAAGTGTACTTGTGATTAATGCAAGGAGAAATTTTTATACTGAAAACAAACATACTAGCAGCTACTAAAATAGAGAAGAAATTGAGGGCAAAGTAATATGTCTCCAAAACTGAACTGATTGCTTGTTGAGATTACCTAGAAAGCTTTTGGAAAAAAATGGGAGTTTTTCTGCATCCTACTCCAGATGTACTGAATCAGAATCCCTAGGACTAGAGCCTAGAAATCTCACTTTTAAAAATGCTTCCTAGGTGAGTCTGATGCCTACCCTAGGTTGGGAACCACTCTTTCAAAGTAAGTAGTGATGACACAGCATTTACTAAAGTAACAGATCTGTAGGTTTTGGTTTCCACCTATTTAAAGCCAGATTTATAGACTCGAGAAGACAGAAACTGAATCCCACACCTGGTGCAATTAGAAGCATAATTAGAAGCAGAAGGACAAAATGCCAGGTAACCAAAGCATCAGAGCCATCATTGCTCAAGTCTTTTTTCTTTCTCTTTTTCTTTTTTTTTTCTTTTCTTTTTTTTTTTTTTTTTTTTTGAGACAGGGTCTCGCTCTTTTGCCCAGGATGGAGTGCAGTGGCATGATCAAGGCTCACTGCAGCCTCAATCTTCTGGGCTCAAGTAATCCTTCTACCTCAGCCTCCTATATAGCTGGAACTACAGTTGTGCATTACCACACCCAGCTAATTTTTTTTATTTCTTGTAGAGATGAGATCTCGGTATGTTCCCAGGCTAGTGTTGAACTCCTGAGCTCAAGAAATCCTCCTGCCTGAGTCTGAAAGTGCTGGGATTACAGGCGTGAACCACTACACGTGGCCTATTGCACAAGTCTTGACAAACAACATATATTTTCTAAAACTATCCAAATTTCGTTATCAGGGAGAAGTTTGCTTAGGTTTATTAGAGCAGTCCTTTGCATTCGTATGGTAATTTGTACTTTACAAACACTTTGATACATTATAACTCTATTGGTCTTTGAAACAAAGCGATGCAGTGTAGGTGGTATCATTGTCTTTCTCACTCAGTGTAGCCCAGAGTTGCTCAGAGTCGGAGCAGACCCTGAGGTGTATCTGCAGATCCTGTCATCAGCTGGCAAGTCCAGGAGACTGTGTCATTTAGAGACTTGTTGTTAGTTACCCCTCAACATCTTTTAAGGTGGCAGGAAAATACAGTGGACATAACATTTTAAAGTAAAAATTTTAAAGTTTAAAGAAGAGTTTTGCCACTTAAACGGGAGAGCTTTGTCTGGAAAATCCATTGAGTTGAAACACTTCATCCTTGGAAGGATTATGTAAGATGAACAATTGTGATAAATGTGTGGATTAGAGGCAGTTAGTGAATAGGCAGTTAGTCCAGTGCCCTCATTTAAGAGGCCAAGATCCTGATTCAGAGTAGGCATCCTTTGCCCAGAATTTCTTAGCTAATCTGACCAAATGTTGGGGAAAATGTCTCACCTAACCCACTATTCCTTAATTATGGATTTTGTGAAATACAATAGAACATGTTAATGAGTAATTTATATTAGTTTGATGTATTACAATTTTTTAGCTTTAAATTACACTTTTCTTATAATGATGAAATGTTTTAGAATCCTTTGAATCTAAGTATTTGTTTCCTAAATGAAACATTTGTACAACATTTGATGTTTTTACTTATGAAATATTCTCCTCCCTCAAGAAAATTAGAACTTTTTCTCTCTATTTAAAAGCTAAGAAATGTTTTAAAGGAAAAATGAAATTTTTTCCTTTAGCTTATTTCTTAAGGTAAAACATCTTTTTACTCTGTTATTGTGGTAATGGACAGAAAATTACATACAAAAATATTCTGGGAGAGCTTTCTCCTAGTTGGTTTTAAATCCTTGTGCTACCTGAAAGGTTTTTAGATTTTACAGGAGCTATTTTGTCCACCAGCATTAATGTAACACAGTGTAGTTATGAAAATATATTGAAGGACAAGAAGTGGACACGAAGTGATTTTTGTAACCTGAGCAGTTAATGAATGTGCCAACATTTTCTAGGAAGGGACAGCAAGAATATTCTGCTCTGTAGTTAAAATACTGGCGGGCTTTTGATGTCTTCATGCTTAATTGTGATCACTTTCTTGCCCTGTGATGTTTTTACGTGAATATGTTGGAGTGGAAGTCTACCTTATTATTTTATAAAATGTTTTCTGTACGACAATAAACTGAAAACATGGATCAACCCTTATTTTGAAAATAAACTGAGTCAATTTAGCCTTTTAAAAATATGATCATCTCTTTTAAATAGAATCCTCTTCCACCATCAAGGCTCAACATTTTGTAAGCATCCAAAAAATTGATAGTTAGGGGGCTTGCACTAAATTTCACTATCTTCAGTAGAGAGGAACTGTTTGGAACTTAGATTTCCAATGTGTATATTCTAATGGAGAAAGCAAGAGGTAGAGTTTGTATGTTTGACTTACCCTAGATTTTTATTTTCCATACATACCACAGATGATTGACTTGTTGCATAAATGAAGATCTTCTGTTGTGTGCTTTTCAAACACTGTAAATAAATTTGAAATTTGAATAACTTTCCACAGTATAACTGTAAAAAAAAAAAAAAAAAAAAGTCTTAATTTAACCAGCATTATTACCCTCTGCTTGTATCAGCTGAATGGCAGAACTAAACTCCTATGAATTCCTATCCTATTTCTAACTGATGGGATATAGGCACCACAATTTCCCTTCATTGTTGAAGCCAACAAGTTCCATAACAGAACTCCAGAGGTAAAGAGCTGGGGAAACTGTTAGTTTTAAGGTCACACTGTTGCCCTGTGAATGACTAATCAGAGGAAGCCAAAAAACAGCCAACCAATTTCAGTTTATGTCTTTAATTGTGATGTAAGTGTGAAGTATCTACATATGGGTAATCATGGTTGAGTTAGGTAGTTTGCAAACATGACTTTTGCCGGAGGAACTTTTAATCATGTCTGATTAATTTTTGGCCCCAATAATTAATTTTCTTACAGTCAAACCCAATGCACTTGAAAAATAATATAATTAATACTGTGTGAAGGATTTTTTCCATGTTAAAAAAAGCAAATCACTAGTTTGCTTAGTTCTGGCATTCATAAAGTACTGCGCCTTCTGTTCTATTGACATGTTTGGAAAAAAGAATTGAACATATGTACCACCCCCCTCTTTCTAAAGTCTCCACAGTTCTTTAGCAATTGCTAACCGTAGGTTTTTAATAGCAAAAGACAAAATTGTCAGTTTTTGGTGCAAAACTCTACTCTTTTTGGTTGACTTGGAAAAGCTGTTGTTTATATTGAGAATTGTGACAGCTGTCTTTTACTTTGTTAAATTAGAGATTATTTAGCAAAAATGTAGTTTCACCCCAGTAAAATAAACTTCCACGTTAGGGTTATGTTCATTCAGGGTATTTTTTGAGAGTGGAAGTACACTTCCTGCATTTGTCACAGATAATATCAGAAATTTTGTTGTTTTGATTAAAGTGTTGCCATCTACTTATAAGTTAAAAATGCTGAGAAGGTTTTTTTTGGAAACAGTTTATGAAGCCAGGACACTTTTAAGTTTGACTCAAATATAAAAAGCCACAGTATTCTTGCCATGGTTTTGTACTTAGATGTCTCTCATTATGGGATTCAGAATGTAACAGTTATAGTACTGTATGAAAACACTTAATACACAGTTCTACAGTTACAGTATTGCATGAAAATACAGTATGGTGTGAAATTATTTGTCCAAAACTGTACTCTACTCTCAGTATCTCCATAATGCCCAGTATGTAGTAGGCACCTGTAATTGTGAAGCAGCCTCGTCTGGGGTAAATACCAAGGTTCTTGGTCTCACGGCCAAGGAGATGGAGGTCGCAGACACACAGTTTGGAGCGGTTTAATAGGCAAAAGGAAAGAACAGCTCTCTGTTACAGAGAGGGGTCGGGAGCAGGTTGCCAAGTTGTAGTAAAAATGTCAGGGTTTTTATAAATGGGCTAGCGAGGAGGGAGCTCATGAGGAGGGGATGTCTTATTCTCCTAGGGCCCGAGGACGCTTTAGTTGGGACCAGGTGTGCTATCTGTGCAGAGCAGAGCTTTTTATCAGCTCTTATCCCAGTCCCTGACCACGTAGGCTCTTAGACTCTTAGTCTGTGTTTCTTTGTCCTGCTTATCTGGAAGGGAGAGTTTCTATGTCTGTTCCCATACATCTTGCAGCTGCAGGCATCCCCCCTAGTCTGCTTTTAGCTTCCTTATCTTAGTGCCCCTAAAGGGAAAGGAATGTGCTTATTAAGGGCCACTGTTTTACTGGGGTTAACTGCATGAGGTTAAAAAGGGAGCTGTTTTTGAGCTGCTGTTTGTTAAAAGGAAAGTTTTCTGCTGGGGACTCGCTTTACCCTGTTTACCTAAATTATTTTTGCCTTCTATAACAATTGTGTGCTCAGTAAATACATAAGGAATAATGAACTTAATAACATTTTTTTTCTCCATTCTCAAAATGATACTTAAAAATGACTCAGTACAATAAAGAAACTGAGTAGTAACCAGTGCAAAACTAGCAAAAGGATGAAATACACAAGAAAATGAGAGAATTTAAGAGGAGTAGCAAAACAGCACTGCTGAAGTTACGGGTTTATTTTAAAGTTTAAAATAGAAGTAAACAAGCAAACACGCTGATAGTGGTTAGGCTTTCTGTCCCCACCGCACACATCTCATCTTGAATTATAATCTCCACATGTTAAGGGAGAGACCAGATGAAAGTAATTGGATCATGGGGGTGGTTTCCCCCATGCTGTTCTCGTGATTGTGAATTCTCATGAGATCTAATGGTTTTATAAGTATTTGGTAGTTCCTCCTGCATTCATTCTTCCTGCTGCCCTGTGAAGAGGTGCCTTCCGCCATGATTGTGAGTTTCTGGAGGCTTCCCCAGCCATGCGGAACTGTGAGTCAATCCTCTTTTTATTATAAATTACCCCGTCTCAGGCAGTTCTTTATAGCAGTGTGGGGACAGACTAATACCCACTGGGTTAGCTGGGGTAGGTAAACAGCAGCCAGCTGGTGGGTGTCCCTTGATGGAGGCTTTGCAGGCTGCAGCAGAAGGGACCCTTCCGATAAACCTCCAGTCAGGAAAGGAAAAGGCCCAAATATACAGTATTTCAATTTTTTTTTTAAAGGACATAACTACCAATAGAGATTTAAAATAATCATAAGAGTACCATTAACTTTATGATAAAAATTTTGTAAGTGGAGAAGAAATGGATATATTTCTAGGAAAACAGTATAAGATCCATCTAAGATTTTGACAATTTAAATCAACCACTAAGGAAATGAAATCAGTAATCACAAGTCCACCTCGCCAAAAGGCAATTTTTGAAAGATGAATGTTACCAAAACATCAAGAAACTGATAATTCCTATCTTACAGAAACTTTGAAATGAGAGAAAGCTACCCAACCCATTTCAAAGTTAGTAAAATCTCAAAACTACACTTGAGCAAAGACTATGAAATATTAATAGACCAATCTTGTTTATGAACATAGATGGAAAAATTGCCAATGAAATATTGGCACATTGAATGTAGCAGTGCATAAAAATATTGTATTGAGCAAAAGGAGAATCCCAGGAACAGGAGGATGTTTTAATGTCTAAAAATCTATGTAATTTACCTCTCTACAGATTAGAGGAGGAAAAACATGAACACATCAACAGAGACAGGAAATTCAGGTTTTTTGCGGGGGATGGTTGTAATTAAAAGTGCTTAACTCACTTATATAAGCCATTATATCCAGTTACAATAAATCTTGTATAGTGGCAGATGTAAGACAGATACACTGGAATTATCTATGGGGTTGGATCCATGGGCCTGCCATGGAAAATTTGTTGAGTTATATGTCCAAGGGTCACCATTTGCAAGGTGTTAACAAAAAGTTACCTGCCTATGGATTCCCCTTTCTAACTCTGGCCTATTATTTTGGAACATGGAGGAAACAAACATCTGATGTTTCTGTGTTTGGGTAAACATTATTAGGCTTATAAAAGGGCCTAGGGTTTTTTTGTTTGGTAAACTGTTGCCTTTCCTGCTTTGGTATGGCAAATCTTCCTTTGGAGAAGAAGATCCCTTTCATCTTAAAACCAACTCTCAGTGACAAACAAAAGCAACAAATAGAAACAACCACCAATTAAGAACCATCAGGTGATGCCTCATTTGCTGTGGTGCACAGCTGAACTTGATTATTGCTCTTGGATCAGGGCTGGCTTAATAAGGACTCGCTTAACCAATGGAAAGTAAGGTTAAATCTTTGTAAGCAATGCTTCTGATGCGAATCACCTGGACATCTTGAGAAAATGTGGATTCTGGTTCAGCAGGTCTGGAGTGGGGCCTGAGATTCTGCATTTCTAACAAGTTTCCTGGTGGTATTAATGCTGCTGGTCTGTGAGCCACACTTTGAGTAGCAAAGGACTAAAGGTTGTGAGATAAACTGCTTTTAGCAGCCCAAAGGGCCAACTGGAAAGTTGAGACCAGTTGCAGAGCAAATGGAGAGACAGATCTGCTAATCTGGTTCTTAGAGTACTTAAGAAGGATCTATTCCTGATGTCCAGGGTACTTGGTGGATGTGTCCATGACCTCGAAATTGAAAACCCATTAATCTTTGTGAAATCTGAATTTTAAGGATCTTACCCAGTGAGCATATAACTAGTGGAAATCCTGAAAATTGGCTAATGCAAGGAAGTGATATCCATGTATAATGCTTATCTTTGTATCCATTTCATGGGGAAGGTCATGGAAGACGACGGTAAACTTCAGTGGTTAATGAGAGCTTCACTAACGTTGTCTGTTCCAGACAATAAGTGAAGTCTCTGGCAGTGGGAAGCATGGACCCAAGACTGAAAGCTCTGGCACTTTACAGCAGTGGTAGCGGATAGATAGGACTTACTGTGGCCCCTTAGGGCAAGGCTCAAGTGATTTTCTCTGGTGAATGTCGATGTGGATCTAGTCTCTAGGGTTAGATCTAGGCGGGTAACATCAAAGTCACTTGGTAAGATCTCTTATGCCTGTGAATGGAAGGCCTTGATAAAACTTCATTATTAATGTTTTGCGTTAATTTAGCAGATGACTATAGTCATTTCACATAATCTAATACATGAATGTCCTGTATAGGTGACTGCTGAGGATTTAGCGAAGGAGACTCCGCTTACAATTTGGCTGGTAAGGTGGATGCTCCTGACACTACTGATGGGCAAGGATGTTAACATATCTAAAAAAGTTCTGA